GGGGGGGGGGGGGGGTCGGGGGTTGCAAAGCACACGTGTGGGATCAGAGAGGCAAGGCTGGGCTGCGGGGCGCACCAGTGCGGCCGCGGCGAGCGGACCTCAAAAGACCCGCACACGCACGAACCATACGCGCCTGGCAGCGACACCAGCGCCGACAGCGCATGACTCGTCCAGATATGCGAGACCTCGTGCCAAATGACAAATGCACAGCCCTCACAAACCTCAAAAAGCCACACCAGGCGCAAAGTAAGCTGGATAAAAAATGGCGCCCTCACTTGAAGTCGACCTTGACGCCGGCGCGCTTCAGCAGCCTGGCACCACCCAAGCTGGGCAGCTTGTCCCAAGGCAGCGCCGCGTCCACCACAAACTCGGCGCTGTCGGGGGCGCGGGGAAGGCGGGGGTTGGTGTGGATGGGGTCGGTCAGGTGGACGGCTGTGTGGTGCAGACGGGTCGATTCAGGGGCAAAGGGTTCAGGGTTGTGCAGGGCGGTGAGCAGGGGCGTGTGAGGCGGCGCTGTCAGCACCGCCAGCTAGGGGCTCCGCTCGCCTGCCTGCTGGCTTAGTAATGGTTCATGCTGTGCTTGCGCCAAGCAATGAATGATGCCAGCCTGCTGACGGAATATCTGTTTAATCGCAGGTGCGCCAGGCAGCCGCAGGCATGCGCCACGTTGCCCCACAGCGCGCGGCCATTCCTTGACTCTTTCTCCCTCTCTCACAATCTCTCAGATGCTCTCAATGCAGCATCACACCTCCATGCCGCAGCCAGTGAACTGGAGAGCCTAAGCCCTAAGCCCTCCGCCCTATACCCTCGACACTAAACCCCGACGGCCGCAAGCAACCGGGGCCACTCACTCCCCCTTGAGGGCCTTGTAGGTGATGCTGCTGTACAGGGTGCGCGTGTTGAGGCTCGCCTCGTTGGACAGCTTCCACCCAGCTGCCGGCTTCAGCTTGTAGCTCAGCAGCGGGCCCGCGGCCTGCGGCGGTCGGCGGTTGCAGACGATGGGATGTGCAGTTGGAGGGCGGATGACGTGCGGACGCTGCGTGGCTGCCTGGGGGGCCGGGCCGTTGGTGGCGGGCAGGCCCCGGCCGCCAGCAGCGCCGCCCGTGCGCTGCGTTGTGCGTTGGAGGACGCGCTTCTAAGATGACGCGCTTCTCAGGAATCATGGGCAGCCACATGTGCGCGTTCAAGGGGGGCTCACCGGCGTGTGCATGAGCTTGAAGCTCTTGGCCCACTTGGTGTCCGGCTTCCACCCGATGCAGAATGCGTGGTTGGAGCTCTGAGGGCGGGGCACAGGGGGGAGGTTGGGGAGGGCGGTCAGTAATTCTGAGGAGGAGGGGCGGCAGCTGTCACGCAGCTGCCGCAGGCGACCCGGCGAAGTCCGCGGCGCGCACAGGGGCCGGAGTGCTGGGCGGCAAAGGGGAAGCGGCGGCGCCGCGCGTGTGGGCGCTGCGGCGCTTTGCCACGGCGATGCCGAAGGCCGGTCAACAACCCCGCCTGCCGCTTGCCCACCGAGCTGTCGCCAGCCACCCTAATCTTGTACTGCTTGTTGAACTTGAGAGTCTCAATGTAGTGTGCTGTGTCAGTGAATGTTCAAAAGGGAGGGTGGCAGGTTGAGAGGCGTCACCCCACGCTCCAACCACCAGTGAGCAGCGGTGACGAAAGCCACCAGAGGGCTGTCCCCTCGCCCCCAGCAATTTGCTGCACGCAGGCTCCCACACGCTTGCTGCTGCATGTCAGCAGTCCACGTCGTCTGTGCGCAGCGCTCTCGCATGAGGCCGCTGGTGCCTGCAACTCCCCTGCCGCGCATGCGCTTAACGCCGGCGCCAAGCGATTTGGGCGACGCCAGACAACAACAACTCCGGCGTTTCAATGCATCACATGAAGCTTCAATGGCTCGATTGAATCTAGTCCTGGCACGCCCTGCAAAACCTGACACATAGACCCTGGCCCCCCACCGTTTCTGTTCATGAAGTCATATGTCAGCTTCAAAGAGTCCTTCCACTTTGCGCTGTCCAGGAGCTTGGTGGACAGCTGGGGGGTGAATCAGGGCGGTTGATGCGGTTGGCACGTTTTGGCAGGGGCGGGCGGGCCTTCTGGGATGGCTGGATTGTTGGTGCTGGTGTTCAGGCGCCCAGGGCTGGGCGTCGGGGGCCGGCTGGCAGGGCCGATGTGAGGGCGGGCGCCACGCGTGGCGAGGCGGGCCGTGGCAGCTGTCGCGCGCCGCTTGCCGGCGAAGGTCGCCCGTTGCTGCTGCTTTGTGCTTGCCCGCCCGCAAGGCTCAAGCATCCGCGCCCGCTCTGGTCCGCCGGCCCGCTTGTCCCACGCCTGTCGCCTGCATGTGTGCCACATGCCTGCCCGCGGCACGCGCATCGTCGTCCTGCTAGCCCCCCTCCCCAGAACCCAAGCCACCATGCCCGCAAGCCTGGCGCACCTCAATGACCGGCGTCGGCACGACCTCCCACTTCAGGCCGGGCACCACCTGCCTGAACTTGACGGTGCTGCCCTGGTTCTTGCGGGTGTACTGCAGCGCTACGTCCTGCGGGCACGCACGTGCAGATGCGAGACGCATGGGGGCCTTGTGCTGGAGGCCCGCCAGCTGGCGCTCAGGGGCAGGCTTTGACCCGGCCACTGCTGCGCACGGGTGCAGTTTGCGGGCTGGGGCGCATCGTCGCGCTGTGGATGGCGGTCCCGGTAGATTCACATTTGGTCAAACAGCAACGGCAGCCCATACGCCAAGGAAGGCCGGGCGGACACAGGACACGTCATTGGTGCTGCATCACGCACGCAAGACAGGGCTGACACCGCCCACGCTTCAAGGAAGCCGAATTCGACCCCTGCAACCCCTGCATACACACCAACGTACACACACACACTATGTCTCTGTACCTGTCTATGTCTCTCTCTCACACACACACATACGTACACACCCACACACAAACACGAATGCAGGTAGATGCGCACCCGCACAAACATACGCACAATTGCCCCTGCGGCCCCCGCACCTTGCGCTTCACGTCATAGCCCAGCTTCCAGGGTCCCTTGTCCAGATCAAGCCCCACCAGGCCAGCCTCGTCGGATGCGTTGATGCCCACCTGCGCACACCCATACACACCTTGGCCGTCAAGCATGCCGGCTGCGCGTCCCCCGCCGAGCCGCCGGGCTCTAGGCACGGGGCTTGCGGGGCATTCTATCGTTGGCACAGGCGCGTTGGCGCCACGAGGGCATGCGGCAATCTTCCCGCTCCGCTGTGCGTTTTGCGTGGAAGAACGCGGGCTGGGCGCCGCGGCCACAGTCGTGCGTGCCACCTGGGACAGCGCGGCGACGCAGCTTGCACCCTGTGCGGCACCTTGAGGTCGGAGTCCGCGAAGGAGACTTCCGTCCTGGTCTTCAGCTCGCGTTTGCCAAGGTCGTAGAAGCTCTTAGTGGTGACCTTGGAGGCCATGACTGCCAATGTGCAAGGGGCAGAGCAAGGTGCTGATCTCCCGGGCCGATCTACGTATATATTGACTGGTAATGTGGCACCCTGCTTGCAATTGAAATTGAAATTGGTCACGGGGCTAACCCCGTACGGTGTCATTCAAAAGGGGCACTTTCGGCGACAACGCAGCGGCTGTTCTGAATCTGCGTGGCAACTAGGGGCGCCCTTCCATGGATACGAGGGCGTACATTGTATAGGCGTTTGTTTTGTGCTACTTTACACATCTCACGCGAAGCATCACAGAACCAAGCAGCAGCACTTGAAGCAGCATGCACCACACAGCGCTGGGCTCCCGGCAGGGAGCCTTGCAACGGGCCCATCAGCAGCGACAAGTGGTCGGAAAGACAGCTTGTATCCACGCGCGCGTCCTGGCGGCGCCCAGCGGCTGGAATGCAGCAGCAGCAGGTGTCGTGGTGAGTTCCCCTGGCCTTGACGCCCTGGACACCACATTTGGGATGTGTCGCCTGCACCTGCATGCACTTGGTCTCACTGTACGCCACTTGATGCAGGCCGCGCGAGCTTTCAAGCGCAATCGCCCGGTTGATTTCGAGGGGTTCGACTTCAAGGGGGGCTACGGGCCCCCACCCACGAACGGCACGGCCTGGCTCCTGAGCACGGCCGGTGTGGGTGACGAGTACTATGACGATTACGACGACAACTACGAGGACGGGCCCCCAATCCCCGACCAGTGGGACACCATGGAGCCCAAGTATGTCAACGACCGCCGCGTGTTGATCAACAAGCAGATCGAGTGAGCAGACGGGGAGCTTGGTTGTATCTAGCAAGCAATTACTCCGCTCCGAGCGCCCGAAGCTGGCCGGCGCCGTGCCCAGCCGCGGCGGTCAACGATGGTCAAGCGGGAGCAGCACTGGGAAATCCGACGCGCGACCCACCCCTGGGCACCAGCCATTTTGCCAGCACTCGCACCCGACTAATATCACCGCACCCCACGCGCCCGCAGGTCGTCCAGCCTGCGAGTCCAGGGCATGGATAAGGAGGACATGGGCGTCATGGCGACCGACGAGGCGCGCCAGATCGCGCGCGAGGAGGGTGTGGACCTCGTTATGATCTCGCCCGACGCTAACCCGCCGCTCGCGCGGCTGATCAGCTTCAGCAAGTTCAAGTACGAGGCGGAGCGCGCGACCAAGCAGAGGCAGAAGGCGTCCAAGGGGTGCGCTGGGCGCGTCGCGCCGCACAGCACCGCCGTTCTGCTGGGTGGGGGCTGTGGCAGGAGAAGGGCTGTTGTCCTGTGCTGGACAAGTGAAGAATAGGGAAGTTGGCAGCTGGGGCTGTTGCATATCAGCAATAAAGCTTCCCGGCACGCGGAGCCGCAGCTGTCGCAGCAATGCGCCCCGCTGGTAGAGCACTAGCCGGCCCTGCGCCCAGCTGCGCGCCGGCCGGCATGGCCCCCTCAACCCCCAACCTGGGCCTGTCTGTCCCGCCCGACGCCTGCACCCTCACTCACAACCTTCTTGTTGCCGTTTGAAATACGACCGTGCAGTGTCGATTTGAAGGAGCTGCGGCTGCGGCCTGTCACTGAGACGCACGACTACGCCGTCAAGCTGAAGCAGGCGCAGGGCTTCTTGCAGAAGGTGGGCCGCGCTGGGGCTGCCCGGAGCACTGCATAACCCCTAGCGGTGGCGCCGCAGAGCGGCCAAGCCGCCCAAGCAGCCAACGGGCCGGGCGCGGCCAATTTTTTGAGTCGTCAAGGCCATGGTTCTTGTGCGTTGCGAGAGCCTGGAGAGGGTGTTTTAGAATGGGACGGCGCAAGCTGCTGCATCGGGGCTGCAGTGTGTGCATGCAGACCGCCCGCACGCAACATGACACCAACGCGCCGCCCTCGTCCCCCCGCCGCAGGGCTCCAAGGTCAAGGTGTCGATGGCGTTCAGCGGGCGCGAGCTGCGGTTCAAGGACCAGGGCAAGGAGCTCATCCTGGTGAGCGGTTGTGCTTGGATTCGTTCTCATGTTGCACGGGTCACACCAGGTGGTGCTGTCGCAGATGTTTTTAGCAGGTGCTAGGGGGTCCCTTGAGCCAGCGGCGGGCCCTGCACAGCCTGGTTCATGGCGATTGGCCGAAGGTCGCAGCGGCTGTCCGACCGCAGACGCCAGCGGGGGCCCTTGTGACGCCTCTGCTGAGCTTTCAAAGGGCTGAGGGCGCGCATGTTGAGCGAGACGCCGGCCCGGTTCCCTTTGGTTGCTTACCTTGGACGTGCACCTGCACCTCCCCTTGCAGCGCTTTGTGGAGGACCTGACCTCGGTGGGCAAGGTGGACGGCGCTATCAACTTCAAAACCAGCAACTTCTCCGTCACCATGGCCCCCAACAAGTGAACAGTCGCCGCCCTGTAATTGGCAGTGGCTTTGCCACTGCCCAGCCCCGATGGGGGGCGACGCGCCCGCCGCTCTCATGGGTGGCACGCGGGCTAGGGGGTGCGGCGCCGAGAGGCGCCCACGCGACTCCTGGGCGCGAGAGCGGCGAGGTCAACAGGCTGTGAGGGCTGGCGCGTCGCCATGGTTCAGCAGGTTGAGCGGCAGGTCTGTGGTCGGCGCCTCAGCGCTGGCCTTGTGGCTTTGTTGGGCAGCGGCCATGCCAGCGTTTCAGGCAGCAACGCGGAGCCGGAAGGCAAGGGCTGTGAGTAAAAATGTGTTTGAGCATCACGTTGTGTATCCGCCGTGTGGCCAGCGCTGGGGCGCCCGGGTGGTGTTGACATGGCCATTGGCGCGCCATTCTCATGTGTGTTTGGTCTGGCGATGCCGCTTCTGGTTTCTTTCTGATGGTCGTTAAGTGTGTGCAGCTCTTGTTCATGCCGCTGCCGTGCCTGATTGCAGTCCATGTGGCGCGTGCGCGGCGCTCATTGCAACATGTATGTACAGCTTTTTTCGAGAGATTTACGTGCGCTCTTCTTCAACACAAACACCCATGAACCCGCGATGCAGCGTTTGGGCGCCGCCTGCCGTTGCCGTTGTGAGCTTGGGTGCGTGAGCGCCGTGGCCCTGGACTCTTCGCTTTTCTGCATCCGTCTCTCCAGAGCGCCCAGGCGCTAGTACTTGTCTTGGTGCCCGAGCAACAAGTAAACCATGATTTGGTGTTCAACCGCGCACCTGACAAGATAGTCGTGCTGAGTTGACTTCGGCAATCTCCAGAAAAAATATGACCAACCTACTCTCAATCACTCTGCCTAATCACCCAGGCTCAGATTTGCACAACAGCCACGCCGTCAGTTACAGGAGAAATGTGAGGCATGTGAGATGCAAGGACCTGCTACTGCATGCGCATGTTGCAAGCACGCAAACAAAATGGGCGCAACAAAAAGGCACATGAATTATGCTGCTGTGAGGAATCCTTGAGAGGGCAGAGAACAGGCGATCAAGAGCATGTAAAAACGGAGCAGAGCAAGCGTCACGCAAGGTATTCTGAGGCATCAGCAGCTGTTGCAAGAATGGAGTTGCAGCACAAGGAAGAGCTTGCAGAATATGTGGAGGTTGCGGGGCACAAGATCAGGGCCTAGAAAGAAGCTGCTGAAGAGGCATGAGCAGCGCACAGTGGCCGTGCGCACATAGTTTTGTGATCTATATTGCTCATTTGGACGCGGTTCAGGAGTGAGCACACCTCGCTGGCAGCAGCACAGCAATGCATGGGAGACAAAACTCGGCAAAGCTGTTGGGCAGACCAAGCGGAAAGCCTTGCCAATCGGACGCCGCCAAGGCTTTGCCTAGCTCGTGTGCACGCTGCAGAATTGCGGTTCGTTTGCACGCTGCGGGCGGGAGATGGGATTATTGTTGGGGTGCAGCTCAGACGAGCTGGATGTTGTCGATGCAGAGCCAGCGGTCGCCGCCCCAGTTGTAGGGGGCCACGAACTCGATGTAGTCCAGGTCCCACACGCCGTTGCCGCCGCAGCCCTTGAACGAGTCGCCGCTGTTGTAGATCTGGCTGGTGGACGCGCCGCCGTACCAGGGCAGGTAGTGGGTCCAGCGCCAGTAGTAGTCTGTTGGGTGTTTCGTGGGGTCGAGCACGGCGGAGCGGGGCAGGTGAGGTGGGGCTGTGCATTGCTTTTGTAGGACGCTCGACAATTGCCCGACGGCGCCTTCAACTGCCACAAGGGGTAGCCAGTGCGCCGCGCGGCTACCACTTTTCGCAACTTGCTCCGCAGCACCACCGCCTGCTCACCGGCGCAGTACTGGCACATGGGCTCGAACGCGTTGGGGCTGGAGTCGTGAACACGCACCAGGTTGCAGGCGCCCTGCGCGCAGGAGGAACGCATGCAAGCGGTCACAGCTAGGCCAATGGGGAGGCCCCGCCGGCTGAACCAGCACTGCCCTGCCCGGCATTCGTTTGCTGGGAGGGGCGGGAGGGGGGATTTGGGGCCCCATTTTCGAGGCCGGCAGACAGCTGCATAGACGCCCACCTTGTCGCCGCCGATCCTGATCCAGATGTCGGGGATCTTGGCGGCGGTGCCCTCCCAACCGGTGACGCCCACATACACCCAGAAATTGATCTGGTGTGACAAGACAGGGGGGCAGAAATTGTGAGAGCAGTTGGGCGATCATTGGGCACTTGATGCATGGCACCGCAAGGTCGCAAGCGTGATTTGCATCACTCCAATACTTCAAGCTTTGCTGCAAGGCTGAGCGAAGCTGAAGGTGGATGTGGAAAAGCGGCAAAGCATCCGGAAGAATGCCAAACCTTGTACTTGTTCTGGAAGGCGCCTGGATTGGTCTTGAATCTGATGCCACCCTGAGATTGCATTGGGGGCGAAAGGCGACCACTCGTCCCCACCCCTTGAAGGTTGCTGCACCTGTCTACATAACTTCGTTCTTTTTTGCCACACCAGTGCTGCAGTCCAGCTAAGCAAGCTATGCAATATGCATGATGCATAATCACCAGGGCTTGCACCGCGGCAGGGTTCTCATCAGCCCTGGCCAGCGACCAAACACCATCGCCAAACGCTTGCACATGCAATATCCATCTCCTCACGTACAACCCGCTCACCGACTGGGAGATCTTGGCACAGAAGCCCTGGCCCTTCCTCATGCCAGACTGCATGGCATCGCTCTGCGGCTGCACCCAGGCGTTCCACTGCTCCACCCACCTGTGGGCAGGACACAGCACCAGGGCAGCTGGTGAGGCGACCCATAGGATGGGTGGAGGATAGCATAATCAGCCACGCCGTTGCTGCGGTTGGGGCCATCAAATCCACCCTCAAAAGCATCTGCTCAAGGACACAAGAGGCCCTGTTGCCATGCGACAGGTTCGTTGAGCTGCACGCACCAGTAGGGGGCCACGCCGTTGTCAAACACCCTGAGCACATCAGGCTCGCCAGAATACTCGGGCCAATCGCGTGTGGGGCGGCCGCCTGTGGTGGAGGTTGCGCGGGGGGGGGGGAGGAAGCACAAGGGGAGCCGTGAAGAAGTTCAGCTGTGGCAAGCAGATGGGACAGCAGGATTTGAATATAGGGGCTGGGGTCGGAGGAAATGCTGTGGGGTGAGTAACTGTATCTTGTCAGAAGCAGGGGGGCAACGCCTTGCGCGATAAGTGCGAAAGAAAATGCTGCGCACATCACCCTCATGCCGTTGCCCTCTTACTAGAGGGCTCAGGCGGGGAGTAGGTGGGCCAGGAAGGGACGGGTGCAGGGTTGTCAGGCTTGTGGCTGCAGGGCACACGACGCCACTTCACGCCTGCGGGATTTTTGTGTGCAGACGGGGTGGTCTGTCGGGCAGTGGGGCAGTGGACGAGGGTGCATGGACATACACCGGGCAGCTGACTCTGAAAGCACTTCAAAGGCCACTTATCCAGCAGCCTGCGTCTGAAACATGAGAAACGTCAGCATGCAGCATTCTCATACCCAGCAGGGGCAGGCTGCTGGCACTCTGCACAGCCACTTCCCACTCACCGATCACGCCCCACTTCTTGTCAGCCAGCTTTTCCCAAGCCCAGACAGACACATCAAAGTGGTTCTGCAGATGGGCAACACAGTTTTGATGGGGTTGGCACACGTGATGGCCAGCATGCAGCATGTGCTCTGGGTGGGCGCGGCGTGAGCATGGCCCCTGCCGGCACACCTCTGGGTGCGGTGACACGCGGGGCCGAGGCCTCTACACAGCACACCTGGTCATTGCAGCACCAGCGCTTGTTGCTGTACTGGTTTGGGGCATACGTGCCTTGTGGAGCAGAAAACGTTGCGACACGGTGCACGTTGGTTGTGGCAGAGAGCTCCGAGGGGCCCAAGGGCACAAGCCGTATTTGTCATGTCTGGGTGCATGCGGCCCCTGTCCCCCCCCCCCTGCCGGTCGCACAGGCAGCCAGGCAGGAGTAGCGCTCACAGGGGCAGGTGTCGGTTATGCGAACGACGACGCTCTTGGAGGTGTCATAGCATGACCAGGAGCGATCAAGCTTCTGTCCATAGTTGTCTTGGATCCATGAAGAGTCGCATGCAATCTCGACGCACTGACCGCACAGCTGCGCGCACGATCAAGGAGGGTGAGTAGATGAGAACTGAGAGTCTGAGGTTGTTCGGACGTCAAGAGCAACAACCAGGGGCCAAAGAGGATTGAGGCAAATTCTTGGGTGTTGATGCAGAAAACGCCTACACAGATAGGCTCTCTAGTGTACGAGGCAGCCATCCACGCACCCGCCCAGCCGCGCAGCGGGCAGACTCACGTCTTCATAGCCGTCCATGAAATCAGTAGCCGCGGCAACATCCCAGCCAAGGGGCTCGTCCTTCCACAGGTAGCCATAGCCGCAGGAACCTAGATGGAGGTGGGCACGCACGTGATACAGGTTGGGTGTTGGGGTGGGTGGGCATGGGTTGGGGTGGTGTGTCTGTGTGCGAAGCGAAAACCACGCTGACGAGATGATTTTGCTGGCTGGCGATTTGCGCGCAAAACTTGCATGCGCAGCATGGCACAGTGCCGAGACCTCCTCCATGAAGAACCCTTGGCGCCCATCATCCACCTACCTTTGTGAATGGACCAAGCATCAGTGCCCTGGTATTGATGTTCAGGAGCAAAAGGGGGGAGGGGAAGAGAGGTGAGACGCTTGCATGGTGTGCTGCCAGGTCGCATGCATGCCGCACCCAAGCACGCCGTAGCCTTGGGCTTCATACATCATGTTGACATTTACAACAACAACACATTCGTGGTTGAACCCACATAGTAGGTTGCCCGGGCGCCATAGTGCCTGTGAAGGTAGAGCAAGCGAGCACAGCGTGTCAGTGCTGTGTGCATGGCATGCATGGCATGCAAGGGGGGAAAGGGGGGCAGGCCACAATTGCCAGTGAAATCCAAGAGTGAGGCTACTTGTCGTTCTTCATGCCCGCCACACATTGAGGCGATACACTGTCTGAACCCTTTGGGCCAACGTTGTCAACAGTCCTTCCCGCAATTTGTCAGCTGGCTGCACGACCTCGGCGCCTCCCACATGTCCCGCGTTCTCACCACTGCCAATCATAATTGAACTTGTCAGCTTGCACGACCTCAGTTGTTGTCAAAGCCAACAGGACGAGCACCATGAGGAGCATGCTGCTTGGGCGCGCCGCCATGCTGACGGGGTTCTCAGTGCCTACAGTGCGCCAGGCAGCAGGCCGCCGCGAGGCGCAGATCGTCAGCGCATTTGTGGGCAACGTCACACGCGTCTTGATGGGTCGCACACGCTGGGCAGAACGCGAGAAGGGCCCGGGAGCAGCACGGTGCTCGCAGGAAGGCGACGTGGCGACTGCAGCCACCTGGAGGTGCTAAATATATCAGTACAGCTATCTCATATCCTAGGTAAGTGATGTGGGGCTGACGCACTGGCTGCGACACAAAGTCAGATCGCAAAGTCAATGCGTCCACGATTGCACATGTGCAAAAAGCTATGCTGATCAGTATCAGATGTCCTTATCAAAAAAATCTTACGATAAGAACCTACGGTAACGCAGGATTGTGGTGGACGGCCAGGGCGCTCATCTTTTGAATGCCTCACCAGGAATTGCCGCCTTCCCACCAGGCGCCCCACCCCGTTCCATTGTTCCACAGTCTATGCACACAATGTAGGACAGGAACAAGTATGTGGTGGCAGGATTGATTACACAAAAATGTTGTGGGCATCAGCCGCGGCTGCGCAGGGCCCTAAGGTTGAGATCGCATTACGGCGCGAGTGTGCCGTCAGGGGGCAGGCCGTGCAGCAGCGCGTATGTCGCAAGAGCGCCAGCATACCCAGCCGCCACCCATGGCGACATGCGCCGCAAGTACCTGCAGCGACAGGGGAGGTGGTCACATGAACCGTGTAAGAAAAGTGTTTAGGGTGACTGGCCCAGCCCGCTTGGATGAGGGCGACGGTTGCTCACCAACGCGATTGCAGCAACATGGTCAAGCCTCGGGGCCCAGCACCAGTGGCAGGGACTTACCAGCCAAATCCAGCGCCCTCGATGCTCATGAAAGCGACGCCAGCGGCCGAACCGATGACCAGAAGGGACCCGCCCGTCCCTGCAGGCGCGCATGCGGATGCAGCTTTGCATGGATGCATGCACTTGGCGCGGTCTGCCATGCGTCGACATGCAAGCGCATGCTCTCGACCATGGTGCCTCGCATGCGCTGATCAACCCCGCAAAACCTGAATGCAGGGTACTGAGTGCGCAACCTGCGGGTCTTACAAGCAGGCATGGAGCAGCACGGCCAGCGCTCCATGGGCCCCTGCAACGCCCATGCCGTCCTCCCATGCCAACCGGCCCCACCTGCTGCCAGCGCAATGAGCTGCCACAGCTGACTGTCGGGCGGCACGAGCGCCAGATCGTACATTCCCATGGTGGCGGCGACCAGGGGCACGTTGTCAATCAGCGCAGACACGACGCCGATCGCGGCTGCCACGATGCCCACGTTCGGCACCGCCGCGCCAAGTGCAACTGCCAGCTGCTGCAGCAGGCCTGCCGCCTCGAGCGCACCCACAGCCAGCAAGATGCCTGCATAGCATTGAGCGTAAGAGCCATTTGGTGAACCTGCGCCATGCAATATCACGGCCATTCAACCTTGCCCCTGCATGCGCAGGCAAGGGCAATGCTGCCGTGTGGCAAGTAGCTTCAAGCAAGTACCCCCCCAATTTCATCCGTCAAGACATCCAGGAATCCACCTAGGAAGAACATGATGGCCTCGATGTCGACCTTGCGCAGCGCGTCAGTGACGCGCGGATAGCCCCTACAGATTTGATTAGCGGGGCACTGACAGCTTGGGTGCGGGCCCTGTCGTGCGTCCAGCCACACTGCCGCACATACCTCAATGCCATGATATGTTTCCGAGCTCTATCGGATAATGCCACCTTTGGAACAAAGCACGGCAAAGCCATGCATATCGTGCCATGAGCTGCCACGCGTGTGGCCACACCTGGACTCCCCAAAGTGAAGCGCGTCCGTGAGCAGCCACAGCACGCTCAGCCCGCACAGCATGCCCATGTAGGGCGGCAGCCCTGCCAGCCAGGTTGCAAAAGCAATTAAGACACGGGTTGAGGAGAGTTTTGGTGGTGCAGTAGATTCCGATGGAAAAAGTCTGAGGCAGGGAAGTCTGGTGCAGCTGATGAAGGCCTCAAGAAGGCGGCGGCAGAGATGCGTGGAGGGGATCCAGCATAACAAATGCCTCAAGTTGCAGAGCCCGCCCACCTGTCAGGTATTTGAAGGCCGGCACAGACAGCAGCGCCCCCAACCCCACCGCCAGCACCAACGGGCCCCGCTGCGAGGCATCCTCGAAAGCGATCGCCTCAGACACCTCCGGGCTGCTGCTGGCGCCCATGATGGGCGCGTCTGCGGTCGTGAGCGCCAGCGCCAAGCTTGGCGGGAGAGCCTGCTCCTCCCCCTGCTGCTGCTGCTGCTGCTGCTGCTGCTGCTGCTGCTGCTGCTGCTGCTGCTGCTGCTGCTGCTGCTGCCGCTGCTGCTGCTGCTGCTGCTGCCGCTGCTGCTGCTGTTTTCCACCTGGCTGCTCGTCAAGCACAGCTGCAGGCGTGCCCTTGAACTCGGGGGCAAACAGCTGCAGCAAGCCCAAGGGCACCACCAGGGCCACCAAGCTGGGCAGCAAGAGGTCCCTCATTGTAGGCAGCGGCGTCAGCTGGCCGTGAAGCCAGAGCATGGTGGTGGTGACATCACCGATCGGGGTCCAGGCCCCACCTGGGTGTGGATGGTGGGTGCAAGTCAATAGGGGACGCGATGAGGCGGGTCAGTTTGGCAGCCAGATTTTGGCTGGCTTGGGGGAGAGCAGCGAGATGAGCCACCACGGCATGCGGCCGTTGCTTGATTTTGTGTTGAGGAAGGCGTTATGTCAAGAAGTCGATCGATCACATCTTGCTCATCACACGCACGCCCGTCAGGCCCGCGTGCCCTCGCCACGCGCACCGGCATTCGCAGCGACCACGACAGACGCCCCCAGCAGCTTGCGCAGCTCCTTGTCGTCGGGGATCGCGCGCTGCGTTTCCATGGGGTTCAGAGGGTTCCGGGAAGGGCGTCCGTGATGCACAGGGTTTGGGCAAAAACACAGGCACACATGCAGGGTTCAAGGACCATTCCCATTGGTTGTGGAAATGAAGTGGGAGATGTGCAGTGCCACTGGATGGCTCTGCAACGGCAAGGGTCCTCAGCTGGCTCCACATCCTACCTGCAGCACCGACAGCATGACGATTGTGGTGGTCAGGTTGTCCAGAGCGGCGCTGAGGAAGAATGACAGCAGCCCCACCCCCCACAGCAGCCGCACGTTGCGCTCCGCTGGCGTCGCGTCGCTGGCGTTCACTGCCGCGGCCAAGGGCTTGAAGCCCCCGTGCTGCAGAACGAAGATGAACGAAACAAGGGGAACGGGTGCGGAGGCGACACCAGCGCACCAGATGTTAGGGGCAAGCAGCCGCGACAAGCAGATGCAGTGCAGGCCCTGATGCTCTGCAGTCGGGCCTGCAGCTGACCGCGGCCCGATTATCCCCCTCTTGCCTGCTGCAGCATGGCAATGGTGGTAAAAGGAGCTGCAGCGCAAACAGACGCGAATGACCTCCCATGACTCACCGCGTCGACGACCTCAACCACAGTCATGGCGCCCACTAGGAAGTATATCAGTTCGCTGACCTGGCAGAGAGATTTGATGCAGAGGCATCAAACCAAGGGTTGATGCAGGGGCGTATCCAAGTTCTCCTGGCTCAAAACCAGGAACGGCCAGGGCAGGTGGTGCAACGAGTGTGGTGCGCTGCCGTGAGTCAGCAGCTGGCGAGCCCGATATCTCGCAGCACAGCTCGTCACAAGAAACGGCGCAGCCAGCGTATTGGGGCTGCACGCCGCTACCTCTCACCTGGGTGAGCGCTGCGGAGAGCTCACTGTCGACGGCACCCCCAGGGCTGAAGCCCGTAGAGCGGATGATCCACAGCTGAGGGGGCAAACATTGTCGGGGGCGAGGCAGAGTTTGAGCAAACCTGAGGCTGGGTCAAAGGGGGCTAGAGTGCTGGCCGTGGCCAAGCGGCGGTCAGGGGGCTTGAGGGTACCCTCACAGGCCCTGCCTGGATGCTGTACGATTCCAGTGGTTCGTGCATTACATGACTGCCTCCACCGGACTCTGTGGCATTTGACGCTCACCGAAACCGCCGTGCCCAGGGCAACCCCAGCTTTGTTGAAGCCCAGGAGGTCCTCCGCGATGATCCCAGCATACCTTTGCAGTACAACAAGGTTGGGGTGTCGCCGCCAGTCGGATGCGTCAAAAGTAATTGCCTGCCGCAGCTAGCCCAGAGAGAGGCTGAACGCAGGCGACAAAGCCATGCCGCTGCTGGCAGCCAGCAAATTTCATCTGGAACCGATCCCCATGTGCCGCAGTATCCAAGCACCCTTGCCTATCAACTTGACCTGCTCGGTCTTGATCCACACCGCTCCCCCCCCCCTCTGCACTGCAAGCACCCTGCCCCATCAACTCACCCAATGCAAAAGACCACCGCCATGGCCAGCCCCTGGTGGTCCTCCACAGCCTGACAGGGTGGGGGTTTGCGGAGGATTTGGGAGAACAAGGTCACCACCACTTTGGCCATCACCACCAGCAGCAACAGCAGCAGCAGCAGCAGCAGCAGCAGCAGCAGCAGCAGCAGCAGCAGCAGCAGCAGCAGCAGCAGCAGCAGCAGCAGCAGCAGCAGCAGCAGCAGGCACAAGCCAGCAGGAGGCAAGCCGACAGCAGCAGCAGCAGCAGCAGCCAGCAGGCAGCCAGCAGGCGGCCGGCTGGCGGCAGGGTCGCCAGGACCGGGCACGTGTGCACCAGCAGCCGAGGGCAGGCGTTTTGGCTCTTCTCACCCCACCTGGTGATCTAGGATGCCGGCCACCACGCTGACAACAGCACCCACCCCAACCGCTTTGTACAGGTCAGCGCGGTCTCGCGGCCCTGTGTCAGGCGGCGGCGGCGGCGGCGCCTCTCCGCCAGGCACGGGGGCCCCCAGCGGTGCAGGGGCGGGTGCAGCCACGGCGCTCGTGGTGGCGCTGTATGCATCTGTGGGCGCTGACGGGGAGGCCGCGTCGCTGGCCGCTGCCTGCGGAAGCGGTGCCTTGAGGCGTGCGGTTCGGGACAGCGGGCGTCGGCATGGCTGGCGCGCACGTGTGTCCCGACCATCCAGGCACCCCGCATTGAATTATTGAATGCAGTTGCTGGAACCTGGTACATCAATGGGTCATTGCAGGATGCATGATCACTTCTATCATCATCAAAATCTGATGCCACACCGGCATCGTGGTGCGCTGCAGCGGCAGACCGCTCACCCGGCATCGCGTCCGCCCGTTCACTCCACTGCGTGGTGGCGCTCCAACAGCGAATTGGCGGATAGGCCGCACCCGAAGCTGCGCTTGCACCATGCCAGCCATATGAATGTATTTACTGCACTGGTGGCAGGCTCTGAGCGAAGGCAGAGGCCGCTGCTATCGGAGTCACTGCCAGGATTGCCTCATCGAAGTTGGGCACATACCGTACTGTATTATAACATGTATTATTCAGATAAATTGGAAACATAAAATGCATTGAATTCGTGTCCCGCGTCGATCAATCCGATTTCTAGAACAATTTGATCTGCCAGTGCCGGTCTTCAACCGTTTTCGTCTCTCAGGAGTCTCGCCCCGCTGGTTTTGTGACCAGAAAAGCAACTGTACCGCTAGTCTCTCAGGAGCAAGCCACGCGCGCTCATCCGTAGTCGGGCGCACCCAAAGTGGGGCACAGCAGCGACTGCAGCGCTTGCTTCGGTACCGCCTCAGCAGCAGCAGAAGAGCAGCAGCAGCAGCAGCAGCAGCACTCGCGGCACCATGGCAGACTATCACACGGTCTACAAGGGCCCTGAGGGCGAGACAACGCAGTGGCAGGACATCCAACGGCGGCTGGGCAACCTGCCGGCCAAGGCGCTGGTATGGAAGCCGGATGCATACGCGCCAGAGGCGGAGGCGCCGAGCGGGGCGGCCAAGATCAGGGAGAAGGACGCGGATGAGCTGTCAGATCTAGAGGATGACTTTTCCGATGACCGCGCTTTGGAGGAGTACAGGTGGGGGCGGGTGCAGCCGTGCACGTGGCCCGTGCTTGCGGGCGCGTGGACTGCGGAGCTGGCTGCAGGGAGAGACGTGTTGCCACGCGCCTCCTTACTGTGCACACATGCCTGGACTTGAGTATATTGACTCACATAAGCATGTCAACAAGACACAGCTTTCGAGAGATACAACATCCCACGGTGCACCACCCCCCAAAACACACGCCCAGACACACACTCTCACACAAACTCGCACTCACACACCAACACTCCCTCTCACACACACACACACACACACACACACTCACACCGCACACTGCGTCGCCCCCCTCCCACCCCAGGCAGCGCCGCATCCGCGAGATTCGCGAGGCAGCCGCCCGCCCCCGCTTCGGCACCCTCGACGAAATTTCCGGCAGCGAGTTCGTCCAAAAAGTCACCGAGGCGTCCCGCGCCTACTGGGTCGTCGTGCTGCTCTACAAGTCCAGCAGCGCCGGCTGCGGGCTCATGGAGGGCGCGCTGCAGGACCTCGCGCGGCGGCACCCCGCGACGCGCTTCCTGAAGATCGTGTCGACGAGCTGCATACCGAACTACCCGGACCAGAACCTGCCGACGGTGCTGGTCTACCACGGCGGTGGCTGCAAAAAGCACATCATTGGCTTGCAGGCGTTCGGCGGGCCGCGGACGACGCCGGAGCAGGTGGCGCTCACGCTGAATCAGCTCGGGCCGGTGTGCGGCGGCGGCGAGGAGGGGCCCGGCGACGAGGGCGGCGCGGGCGGCAGCGGCGCGGCGGCGGCGGCGGAGCGGGCGGTCAAGGGGCTCGTGCAGCGGCTCGTGGAGCAGCGGGAGCAGGCGGCCGCTGACGAGGACGAGAGCAGTGACTTTGACTGATGTTGACATGTTGCGTCGCTCTGGGTGTCTTTGCTTGCAGTCTCCAAACGTGCTTTCTTGACCTCAACCGTGTTACCGAGGGAGAGCACGACCAACGCCTTGAAACAGACAGCGGCAGTCTTGACTGCCAAGTGGCCGCGGGATCGATGCTGCATTGCAGTGCCGAGGGAAGGCAAACCAATGGTGGACAAAGCTCGAGGCAATGGAATGCATACAAAATTGCGAAGGAATTCTTGAGTCCTCTGATGCAGTGCTATTCCGGCAAGCCGCTGCTGCCAGGTGACCGGCTGCTGCCACCAGCCTACTCGCCGTGGCGCGGCCGCTGCCGCGGCCCGGGGCCGCCGCTGTCCCCATCATCGGCGCGGCGCTTTGCAGCCGCCCTTCCACCACCCCACCCGCCGCCGCTGCGGCCGCCGCCGTCGCCGCCATCCGCCTGCCGCGGCGCCGGGCGTGGCCGTTCGTCGGCCCGCTTGGGGCCCAGCCGGGGCTCTTCCTTAGGCGGCGGCGGGAACTCGATCCTGTCACCGCCCCTTGGAGCGCCCCCGCCGCCGCCGCCGCCGTGGTCGCCGATGCGGTCATGCTCCCGCCCGCCGCCGCCAGCGCCCCTGCCAGGGAGCCCGCGCCAATCCCGATGCGCCTCGTCGCCCCTGCCGCCGTCGCTCGGCGGCGCGTCCCTGCGGGGCTGCACCCTATCCGCTGGACGCGTCCCCTCGTCCCGCGCCCTCCCCTGCTGGCCGCCGCCGCCTGCCGGCTCGCCGACGGCGCGCGAAGAGCGCTCCCCAAGGTGTGGCGCGGGTGGCTTGTGCTGCTGAGAAGACGCGGACGGCTCAGGCACGCGGGGCCCGAGGACGAAGCCGCCGCTGTGACCCTTGGGCGAAGGCGACGCCGGCCCGCTGCCGCCACCGCGCCCGCCCCTGCCCCAGCTGCCGCCGCCGCCGCGCTGCGAAGCGCTGCGGGCGCTCTCCGGGCGCTCACGCTCGCTTCTGCGCCCCGCGTGGGCATTCGCATCGCCTGCCGCCATCCGCTCGTATGGTCGCTCGTAGTTGCGGCTCTGCACCTGCTGCTGCTGCCGCTGTTGCGGCTGCTGCTGCCGCTCGCGGCTTCTGTCCCTGCCACCGTCCTGCAGCCTGTCCCGTGTGCCGCTGCCGCCTCCGCCACCACCAGCGCCGCCGCGGCGTTCGCGGTCGCTGCTCACCTCGCGAGGCCGCTCGGGCGCCCCTTGCGGCTTGGGGTGGCGCCCCGGCGTCGTCGAACGCCCCCTCCCAGCGCCGCCGCCGCCGCGGTCAGGGTCCGCGCTGGCGTTGCTGCCGGCCCGGCGCGGCCCTAGCTGCGGCGAGATGCTGCGCCTGCGGCCGTGCCCGCCCTCGGAGTCGCGCTTACGGTCGCGGCCGCCCCGCGGAGGGCTGCGCCACACCAGCCGCCGCTTGTCACCGCCGTCGCCGCCGCCCTCGTCCTCCCGCCGTTGGTCGCGCTTCTCATCGCCACCAGTGCCAGCGCCCTCAGCTGCCCTCCGCGGGCTGCCCTCCCGCCGCTCCGGCTTTTCCTCTGACGTGGCTCGCGACAGCTGCTGCCCTTCCTTGTGCCCCTCCTCCCGTCCTTCTTCCTCACTTACTGCCTGCTCATCTGGCTGCTGCTGCCGCTCCTCCTCATGCTCCTCCTCGTCTCCCTCCTCTTCCAAGTCCTCCTTGCCATCAACCTCCTCATCCATCTCATCCCCAAAGTCGAGCAGCGGCTCCCCAACGCAGGAGGGCGCGATTGATGGCTGGCGTCCCAGAGAAAGAGCGGGGGCGGCGCGCCGGCTGCCCTCGCCGCCGTTGGCCCCTGGCGTCGCGCCGGCGCCGCTCGCGCGCCGCTGCCGCCGCGCTGACTCCGGCGGATGCTCCCGGGCCTCGCCGCCCTCCGCTGCGCCAACCGCCGTTGAAGCTTTCTCACGGGCATGCTCTTCCTCCTTTGCACCCGCCTGCTCGTGCTGCTGCTGCTGCTGACGGTGACGCTGTTGCTGTTGCTGATGTGGCTGTACCTGCTCCTCCTCATCCTGCCGCTGCTGCTGCTGCCTCTCGGCATCCTCCTCCGTCCGCTCATTTCCCCGCCGCCAATCCAAGCGGCCGCCAGCCGCTTCTCTGCCCGCTGACTCCCCGCGGCCACCTTCTCCACCGTTTTTGTGGCCCTCATCGCGGCCCTGCAGCCGCCAGAGGGCCCGCGGCTGGATCGAATCCGCAGGACCGCCCTGTGGCACTGCGCCTGGGTGTGCATGAGGGGAGGGGCCAGCCGGATCAATGTGCAGTCAACGGTCACTGCGCGACAGTATAGCGTCCACCTCACGCAGGGGCTGAAAAGGTTCACCGCAGAGCGCATGGCATGCTGCCGTAGCGCTGCCTGTGTGCATGGGCGCGTGCACACACGGCTCGAGCGCATGTGCATGAAGGGGGGGCGGCGCACAAGGATCGACCGCAAGTGCATGGGCACGTGCACCACGCCTCGAGAACATGTGCTTTGGCGTGTGAGCGCACACCGTTCGAGCACTCACCATCAGAGGCGAGTTGGCCGTTGCCGATCACTCCAGGCGCTTCGTGACGACTGCCGCCCTCCAGCCTGGCCAGGACGCAGGAGACGTGCTGCTGCAAGGTGTCCTGCCGGTGCCGACGAGGGGCGGTTAGGGGCTGTTGGGGGCCAAGTCATGGACGCACGCGGCCGCCAGCTTATACGCCGTGAGTAACGCGCATCCGCGGCGCTGCTACAACCGCCGCCATCAGCCTTTGCATGCGATGGGTTCCTGGCAGGCTCCGCGGCTGGTGAATGCTCAGGGTCGTCGCTTAGGTTGCGCCTGCAGGAGGTGGCGGCTCACCGCTGGCATGTCGCCGCAATCCAGGCCGCCCTCCAGGCCAAGTTGGGCTGCCTCCCGCACGAACACGCTGGCTGTCGCCTGAAAGCCCTCTCGGAGGAGATACTGGTGTAAAACGCCACGGATCTGGGGCCCATCATAGACGGGCAGCAGCACGCGCAGCAGCGGCCCCGCAGAGAGAGCCGCTGGCGCGCCGGCGCCGCCGCGTGCGGCGCCGCCGTCTTGCCCACCACCCCCATCACCATCTGCTGGTCTCATATAGAAGCCAATTGACCGTCCGTGGCTCTTCAAGGAGGCGGTCACCGCGGACACAACGACGGCTTGCAACGGTGTGAGCTACAGCGAAGATCAGCACCGAGCTATTGCTCCCGCAAATATTGAACGGTAAAGAGAGGCCGAGAGGACAAAACCAGAACGATCTGCTGGCTTGCCACCCGCGTGGCGGTGTACAGAAGAGGCTTACTTTCGAAGGCTTACTGTATACCCCATCACGTCGCAGATAATCAACTAAGTACAGGCAATACCGGTAAGGTATTCAGCCAGCCCAGCAATCGAGTTTGGATCATACCGTGCTACCGTATGCCCATGCTGACTACACCACGTAAGGTTGCCTGTTTGCACCGCGGACATGATCTGTAGGCCAATCATACGACAATGTGCGTGGCAACATGGTCGAGGAGACAGCGGCAGGTTGGCTGGGGCACGTTGCAGCAGTGTGCAGCGTATCCTGCAGACCCACGCAGCAGCACCCACTGGCGCAGCCACCTCGAGGGGCCAACGAAGAGTAAGGAGTGACACTGTCAATGCCCTTGGACGCAGCAGCAGCAGCAGTAGCAGCAAGTTGGACGGCCGTGGCGGCCGAGGAGGTGCCTTCCAGTCAATCTGTGCATGTGCCATTGCAGCGCTCGTGCTGGTGCTGAGCCCCGCCGCACCGCCGCCAGCGGCCGCCACGGCGGACACGGGGGACACGTTTGAGAACGTGCCGGGCCGTCTAGGCGCCGCCGGCGCGGACGCCGAGCGGCAGCAGCCCCTCAGCCGGCTGATGGCTGGCAGCAACAAGAAGGCGATTGAGGGCTGCACGCGCAAGTGCGTGCCGACGTGCGTGCGAGGCGGCGACGGTGAGCGGCAGGGGCGGCGGCCCCGCGAGGCGCCACGGCGTCGCCTGCTGGGTTCATTTGCCTTCACAGCGTAGCAGGGGGTGTCGGTATAGGCACTCTAGGCTGAAAATCCTGTCACCCTCATCAGTCTCCCCTGCTCCCTTGTTGTTACCTCTGACCGCCGCGGCAACCGGCTCTCCCCAGGCGCGCCCGGCCTCGGACCGCTCAGCGTCCGCAGGGAGCCTGGGGGCGTGGTGTTCAAGGAGTCATACCGGTCCCGCGGGTACTGCCTGTCAGAGTGCGCCAACGTGTGCGCGCTGACAGTCAACGGGCAGCAGGCGGCAAAGGGCGGCGGCGCGGCTGGGGCAGCGCCACGGTGACGCCATGCGGCGGCCCAGCAGCGTGTTTGGCTCTTGCGCTTGCAGTTTGTGACGAGCTTGTGCCCCGTTTTGCAAGTGAAACGTGTTGGTGAACTGTTGCCCCTTGTTATCGCTGCTGCGCACAACGCCTGCACAAGAGGTCCGAAGCAACGCTGCTGGAAAGCCTTCTGCGATTTGAATCCGCTGTGCACGCCTTGGCGGATCCCCGCTGTCTTGTGTAACCAGTAACTCATGTTGCTATGGGTTGTGCGGTGGTTACACCATGGGTCGCACACAATCAGCAAAGCCACCGATAGCCGCGATGCCGCTGCCAGCAGGCGTGCCGGAAGGGGCGCCCGGCCCGCTGCTCTAGCGCCGGTGCGCCCCGCCTCGCACGCTCTGCCGCGCGCGAAACACCCGCGTCCACCCAGCACCGCCCGCCGCCAGGCCGGTCGTGCCTGGGCTGCCACTGTCCGCTGCCTACTCGGCGGCAACGGGGGCGGCGGCGACGGCGAAGCCCAGGGTGGGCATCCGCACAGTCACGCGGCCGGCAATCAGGTCCATGTCCTTCTGGCCCGCAGGGGTGATGCGGCGGCCGCCCTTGGCGCCTGCGTGCGGGACGGGCGGGTGAGGGGGGACTGACGTAAGCGGCTGCAGCTGCGGCGAACTTGGTGCGCGAACCGCGTCATGGAGCTTGCGCGACATGCGAGCATGGCGCTCAGGCACTCCGACGCCCCTCCTCGCTGTATCAAGAGACGCGCCATTCCAGCTACCCTTGAAGCAGCCAACACCACATTGCAGCCACCGAATTGCAGCCGCCACTGCCGTCCTGAGCGGCCACCGCCGCCACCCTTGCCCCCTGTTTCCCATCCCAACACCCCACAACACACACGCACACACACATGCGCGCGCGCGCACCGGTGTGCTTCTCCATGAAGCCCACGGTCTCCAGCTGCTTGATGATGTGGCGGATGAGGCCACCGCTGGCCTTCTTGAAGTGCTCGGGCTTCACGCCGCGGGTCTTGTTGCGGCCGCCAAACTTGATGCGCAGCTGGCCCACGCCGAGGCCCTGGCGCACGTAGATCTGGCGCGCGATGGCGGCTGGGGGATTGTGCGGCGGGGGCAGGCAGAGCGGTGGGGTGAGGCGATGTGAAGGGCGCAAGCTGGGTGCATTGAACGGTGAGGTGCAGGCTGCGCGCCGGCTTGCGGCAACTCGAGTCACATGCTCGCAGCGCTGCTGGCGTCAATGAATCATGTACCCGACTTGCTTTGTATGCTGCAACGTCAGCGGGCAGCTGGCGCTCGCTGGTATCAGCTCAAACTGCGAAGCAGCGAGCGGCTCACACCACCACGACAGTACATTTGGCTAAGGCCAGCTGCCGCTGCATCCAACGCACAAGGCCTGTCCAACATGCCACACTGCCGTTGGCGGATGCAGCTGCTGCGCCCTTCACAATCGCTGGTCCTACCGATAGCTGCTGGTAATGCGCCAACGGGGCTGCTGAATGTGCCGCAGCACTCTGGTGCAGCAGCCCCGCCTCTGTCCACATATGGTGCCACAGCCCAGCTGCTGGTCGCGACTGCCATGTACTGCGCACACGCCAGCGTATCACCGCTCGCCGCTTATCACGGTGTGTGACATGCACCGTCCCAGTGCTGCTGGGGCGCGCGCGAGCCGCCGTTGCCCTTGCAGTCCTGCCAGCGCTCCTTCCTCCGCAACCGGCCCCTCACCAGCGCGGATGTAGTACCAGTCCCGGTCCAAGGGCGGCAGCTCCTTGAAGCAGGCGGTCTTCACCACATCGACCCAGTCAGGGATCTGCAGCTGCGCATTGCGAACAGCAGCGGCGCAGCGCGGCCGGCGCATGAGCATGGTGCAGACATCGCCGAGCAGCATGCCGACGGGCGGTCAGGCTCGTAAAGGGCTCGTTACGGACGCCAAGTGCCCGAGAGGACCGTGAGGACGCCGGGTACCAAGCCAGCGATGGCTGTCTGCAATCTGTGGCTCGGTTCTGGCCCTGCACGCCTCCAGCACGCCGCAACTAGCGATCTGCATCTGCTCGCTGGTATACGGTGCCTGCTTCGTGGCCCTTTGTAGCAAGCCGCCTCCCCCCGCCCTGGTTGCTGCTGCTCCGCCCGCCCACCACCCGTCTCGTACAAAAGCTGCTGCCTCTGGCTACTAACCTTGTCTGTGCTCTTCAAGTGAGCGGCGTACGCCTTGATGAAGTCCTCGGCGGGGACCTCCTTCACGGCCTGAGGCTGCACCTCGCGAGACATGTTTGCTTGCGCTGCCTTGCACGGGCACACGCTACTACTGCTGCGTGCAGTCGCGCTGGGGAGAGGGCGGGGGAGGCGACCGCGGGGGCCTATGTTGCACACACTCACTCAGCAGCAGTGCCTCTAGGACTTCGTGGCTAAACGATCACCGATGCGTGACAAGCCGATGTTATTAATGCATTGTTATGAGTTAACACCATTTTTAAACAGTCTACGCACACGTCAAGGCCGTTCCGTGCGAAGTCCACGCTCAAAACGCAACGGCCAGAGCCCATCGGACTTCGCATAACAACGATACATTGAGGGGTATCAGTTGCTTTGACTGGCATCAGGTGCCCACACCTGACACAGCCTCTTTCCGGACGTTTCAATCTCCCTGAGCACGATGGCGAAAAAGAAGGCCTCTGGCAAGGTGCGTGCTGGCGTGGTGCTTTTATGGATGCCGTTGCAGTGAGGTCGCACATACGTGCTCCTGCTGAGCGGTCCGTGATGGGGCGTGCCAGCGGTGCAGCGGCAGGTGCGCCCACTCTGTTACGGGGGGTAATCCGCATGACAAGCAGACTCGTCGCTTTCCGGGGCTGTAGGGAGGCAAGGCGGAGACGGCAGAGGAGCGCGCTGCGCGGCTGGAGATGGAGTCCCTGGCATCAGAGGAGCGCCAGCGGCGCGAAGCGGTGCGCCCTGAGAGCGGGCGGGTAGGGAGGTCCCGCCGACCTGCAGGGAGAGATGCAAGCCGCAGGGACTTGGCGCAGAAAGAAAAGCAGGCCTGAAAATGATGATTTACAGCGACTTGCGCGCGCACGTGACCCCGAGCCGAGCCAGGCTCCCAGGCGTGGTGCCCCCTTGCCCCCGCTTTGCAGGAGATCACCCGTGTCGCGCTGCGGCAGCGCCAGGAGCGCGAGCAGCGGTACGCGCACATCAACGGCATCAAGATACACAACCAGTGGCGCAAGATAATGCGGCTGTCAAAGGCGCGCGCGGGGTGGGGCGCTGCAGCAGTGCAGCTGCACGGTGGCCCGGCACGAGCGGCGACGCCCGGCGCGCACACAATTCGCGCCAATTCACCTGCGTGTGAATGTATAAACTTTCCTATTGCGCACAAACTACTGCATCAGGTGGAGGAGCTGCGCAAGCATATTGAGGTGCTGAGCCAAAACCACGAGCGGGAGGTCGACAGGAAGGACGCACTGGTGCAGGTGGGCCGCCACAGAATTCAAACACCCGGTCGTCTCCGAAGGGGCAGAACGGCGCCGCGGCCGCCTCAGCCTTTCAAAGCGGCCGCTCGTCGCAATACCTCTGGGCGCGTCCGGGCGCGGCTGCGGCGCCGAGGAGCGGCTGCTGGCTCTTGGGGCCTGCTGCTCCTGGGCACCGGTGGAGCGTGCGTCAGCGCTCGGTTGCTGACCAGCAGGGTTGACTGACCTGGTGCCGGTCGCCACAGCACGTTTTCCATAAAAACCAAACCATAAAAACCATAAAAACCAAACCTCATCATTCCATATTTTACATAATACCGCACACCTCATCGGGCCATGATTTTTTGTCATCTGCGCCGCCAGATGCTCGACCATGACCTTGAGGAGGCCGAGGAGCAGTACCAGCAGGCGGTACGCGCCCACTTAGTCACCATGGACCAGGTGCGGTCACGCTGTCTCTGTGGGTACCAGTGAGCTTGACCGGGGCAGTTGTGAGCAGCGGCCGGCGGCTAGGCGGAATCGCAAGCCCTCTGCAACAAAATGTGCGCAGCTGCCAAACGAGGGACGTACGGAATGGGCTGCCACTCTTGGGGGGGAGAAAGGTCACTGCCCGCGCACCGCACTGCCTGGCCTGTGGACGGGCTGCGCGGCGTTGGTGCAGCAGCAGTGTCAGCGGCCGCCCCTCCATGCCCCTGCCCGTCCTCGCGCCCCCTGCCGCTGGCTGGAGCAGCTTCTGGGCCTGCAGCACGCGCGCATGGCAGCGCTGGACCAGCGGTACGCGGAGGGGCTTAGGGCGCTGCAGGAGGAGTTTGAGCGGTGAGGCGAGGCGCGGTGATTAGCGTGGTCTGATCTGTCCGGCGCTACTGGGTCTGAACATGGGCACGATCTGTACTGGGCGCGAGAAGGAGGATCGGGGCCGGAGGGCGGCGCGGACGTAGGGGGCGCGGCCGCAGCAGCGTCTGGAGTGCTGGCCGCGCGCGCTGAGAGCCGAGCCCCGGATCCCGCGCGCCGCAGGGAGCGCGTGGCAGCGACGGCGGGCCACGCGCGGCAGCGCAAGGAGATGCAGGATGTGGGGTCCGCGATGGCGACAGGGTTTACAGAGGCGGAGGCGGAGGCGCGCCAGGAGTACGAGTCCGCCAGGTGGGCTCGACGGCACAGCCTGGGATTGAGGAGGCCTGCGAGCTCGTCGGCACAGCCTGGGATTGAGGAGGCCTGCGAAATCGCTAGTAAGCGCGCGAATGCGTGCCAACACATGTGCCAGCACAAGCACATGTACGTGCGGCACGGCCGCATGCACGACGCGCGCACGCGCGCGCGCACACACACACACACACACACACACACACACACACGCACACGCACACGCACACACACACACACACACGCACACGCACACGCACACACACACACACACACAC